CTTCGTCCGCTTCTATTTGTCCCGCCGAGATTTAGAAGGAGGAAAAGCTGTTGAATTATTCTTCGAACTTCCACCTACTATCGAGAACTATTCCCATGTACTCGAAATTATGCTTCATTGGGATAATCATTCTGTTAACCATAATATAGGAACCGGTAGGTGGTGCTCTTCGAGGCGTAGCGAAGTATATAGCCTCTGAATTATGGACCACCACTTCCAGTCCTAACCGAAGAATTCTTAATTAAATATAATGATCATCATTATCATTTCAGCCATTAGCCGTCAACATAAGCCTCCCCCATTGACTGCCATAAGAAATAGTCCTGAGCCACCTGCATCCACTGATTCCCTGCAATGCATTTCAGGTTATCACTTCATCGTGGGGAGTCGTCCTACACTGAGTTTGCTCTTACGGGATCGCCACTCAAGAACCCTTCTTCGAGCTATGTGACCAGCCCATTGCTACATACTTCAGTGTATTTATTTTTCGGTCTATTTCGGTTAAATTGGTTCTTTTGCAGATAACCTAATTTCAAATTCTATCACACAAAGAAACTCCGAGCATAGCCCTCTCCATAGTCCTCTGAGTAATTTGAAGCTTTTGCATACGAAAAATCGTGAAGAACCACGTTTCGGTTCCATAAGTCATCACTGGCAAACACGTAGACGCGATTCAGAAGGGATATCGGTCTATAGTTTTTTAATAGGGTATTGTCAGCCCTTTTAAAGAACAGGACTATCGCACTTCTGTTCCACATCTCGGGCGTAACACTATTATATGTGATGAAATTAAATACCCTTTGAAGGACTACAGGTACCGGTTTTCCACCCGCTCTCAAAAGCTCTGCTGTAATTCTATCCTCTCCTGTGCCTTGCGGTTTTGAAGCTGCTTGAGAGTCATTTTAAATCTCCTGCAAACTAACGTCCGGGATATCATTGATATAGTGTCGGGTGACTTTGGTCGTTATTCGCATTGATATGTGGTGTTAACGATGTTGTTTACAGTTGTCCATAGAACTTCTTAATCTCACTCAAAATCTCAGATGTGGAAATTATATTACCAGTGTAATATAATTATATAATACCAGTTTTCGACTTTGTTAGTAGGCTTTGCCCAATAGCCAAATCTCTGGCAAATACTCTGGAGCCTTAATTCCGCTCTATTGCCTAAAATCTACAGTGCGATCAAAGAATCTTTGGGTTCTTTTTGAACGTTGGGGCTTGAAAAATTTTGGTTCCATTGTTTGAACAGTTTTTACTAGTTTATTGTTGATATTATCCGCTGTTTCCCATACAGGAAGTTTACGGACATACCTTTCATAGTGATTGGTTAAATCGTTAAAACACTATAAGGTAACAAACAAACTCATTTTTACATTTATAATATAGAATAAACTTAACAGCTGAAAAAATAAAGAGTTTTTATTTTTTCAGCTGTTAAGCTTCTATAAACTACACTCACTGCATCTGTTTTGGTTAATATTGAAAGACGGAGTAGTACTATTTTTAAGCAACTTCTAAAAGAAGGAACTCATTTCGTCCGATTTACTTTATAACTAGCTGTATCCCGAGGCTTTGCCTGCGTAAACCAATAAATATATAAAGTATTCTATGTGCAAAAATTAGGATATAGCCTATCTACTTATTAAATTTTGTTCAAAACCTTTAAGCAGTTTTATGTGAAAGACTAACAACCATCCATTCATTGTTACAAATTTTCGCATTTAATATATTAATAGATTTATTTTAATTTTATCGTTTATTCTATATTAACAATACTTTTTGCAGTATATAATATTGGTATATAATAATAATGTTTTTAAATCTACATGTTAACATGCGAAATCGCGTGTTAACATGTAGGTAAATACGCGATTTCGCGTTCGATAATCAATTATTTACGAAAATCCAGCCGATGGTGTATATGTTTGGAACCGTTTTTTTAATAAATTTACTTTTATTTTGTCCATAAAACGTCATCATTTGTGTGAAAGAATTCAATATATTCACGTATAAAAGCGGAGTTTCGTTACATAATCGAATTGAGAATTAAAATATGTATATATATGTATGTTTGATCAGCGATGCGGCCTGGCTTTGCGCAGATATAGTACTTTCGAAAATAATATATAGCCTATGTTACTCTCTGATAATGTATCTATGTATCAATCGATTGAGTAACCATTGAGTTTATCCATTACAAACAAGCAAGCATACATACAAATATTCCCTCTTTGTAATTTTAGTATAAATAAATAACCAATATTTGTTACATAATATTATATTAATAAGTCTTTAATTATATTATTTTTAAATGAAATTACTATTATTTATAAATTAGACCAAATTCGCGATCGTCCTGTTTGTCCTGCTTCGTCGTCCTGCTTGCTTCTGGATAATATGAAACTATAATATAATCCATCAGACTTTTTAAAGTAACCATTTTCATGAGTAGCCAGTCACTCACGTCAAAAGGCAAAAGGCGAAAACGACGCCAACTTTACCCTTTTTCATTCAAATCCGTTCAGGCGTTTACATACTTTCACATTCAGCTACTATTATAAATCTGAGAGTTTGTAAAGATGTTTAGATGTTCAATATTTGTTGCCCAATCACCTTTAAAGGGATGAATAAATTTGAATGAAATTTGGTACACATTTGGATTATGATATCTTTTTATCGTAACTCGCACGGATACCGCAGTGGGTTTCAATCGGTTTTATGAATATATCAATAGAAACTCATTTAAACCTATATCTGTATAAATAGAACAAAGTCAGGTTAGTTACACCATTTATAACTCCAGAATTTGATGGCTGGACAGATTTTGATTATCTATGATTTATTGGATTCATCACCGAATTCCAATATTTTAATAGCAGAATAACTATTAATAATATATTAAAGCAGAACAATTGCATTGCACTTGGCAATAAAGAATATATAAAATATCGAAAATACATACGTAACGTAAAGAATACAGAAAGAATTATGTTAGATTATTAGGCGGTACCAAGTTCACTATAGATATTCTATCTCTCTTTCATAATAGCCAACATCTTACTTTTCTTTTGTTACAATTTTGTTCTGAATTATGTATGTATACGTATTTTGAAGAGTGTATCTCTCACGACACAAGGGAATCTAATGTGGGAGCCCGGTTACAAATGCATTGTAATATTTTGTCAGAATAAAAACAATTTTCATTTTTATTATGCATGTAAAAGTTAAGATTAGAGCCCGTCAAAGTACAAATGCCAACAATAGATGATGGTTTTATTTTATTCTTAATTGTCACGCTCAGTGTGCCTAGAGTTGTTACTAGACTAATTAATGGAAAAGTTTATTAATATTTGACACTTGATAGAATTTTGTATATATATATATATATATATATATATATATATATATATATATATATATAAACATATTCCTCCATAAAAATTTCCACTGAAAATGCTTTAAACAATGAAACCGGTTGGGTATTTTTTATAACATATTTTTTTTTTGTAGAAAGGTACAGTTCAGGTGTTCCTAATAAGATCAATAATGAAAATTATGCTCGTAGGTCCAGGTACCATGACATTTGCTTACAAAAGAAATCTTTTCCCTCCCCAATCTATCTCTTTCTATCGTGACTCACAAGTGCGTTAACCCTCTGCCTGGGCATCCCGCGATTTCCGCGTGCAGTATCCACTAGTCTAATTTTACACATCCCACGATTTCGACGTGCTCGCATTTTTTATGTTTATTGAAGTTGTTATCCCGCGATTTTCATTTTGGCAGATTGATATTGTTTCTCAGAATCTCGCTAGATGGCTAAATATTCGTACTGCTATTTATTGTCAATGCGATGTGTTTCATTGTTGTGAAATAAAAAATACGCGGTCAAAGGGTTAATGATGAATCGTCCACTTGTACATGTTCACCTCTAGAGACTACGGACTGTATAAACTATCTTGGCGTTACAAATGACCACACTCTCACCTTTAAACCCCGTATTAATGTTCTGACTAACTAGATTGAGAAAAATTATATACATATTCAAGAAACTCTAACATATAGCTGATCGTACCTTTAAACAAATGGTGTACTAAGTACTTGGCCAATCGATTATTGAATATTGTATTATGTCATGGGGAGAAGCAGCTAAATTTCACTTCATCGAATTGGAGAGAGGACAACGAGCAATACTGAACGTTGGCTTTAGCCTTCCATATCGCTTCCCAACTACAAAGCTCTACAATAAATGGGACGTATTTATAGTAAGACAAATATTTATCCTAAACACAGTACAGTACAAAGGGGGGAAAGGGATTGTTAGCAATGGAGTTTGACAGCCCCATTGCTAGCAATATGCCCTATTAGGTCGACCTCCACGTGGTTCCCCCTGGAAACCATCGTGAACAATTCTTGTTGAATTCGTCACGATGGGCCAACTGACCTGCTTCATCCTCACATATCATGTTTCACTGGTGCCCCGCCAGCGTATCCCGATAGCGCAGGCGGGGTTACCATTCCATTATCAACCATTAAAAAAAATACAGTACAAAGAGAGAAAGGGATTGTTAGTAATGGAGACTGAGAATCCCATTGCTAGCAATATACCTTATTACTATCAATCCCTTTCCCCCCAACCATAGTGGTTAATTCTTGTTCAATTGATCACTATGGGCCAACTGACTTACCTTCATCCTCACCTGTCACCCTTCATTGATACCCTACCAGCGTATACCGATAGCGCAGGCAGGGTTACTATTCCATCTTTACCAATAAAAAAAACCCGCCTGTCAAGCGTGGCTACTACTAGCAAAACTCCCCTCATAAGGAAGGCTTATAAGCAATGAACAGTTAACGGCCGATATGATGTAGATGTTGAAGATCACAAAGGACTAATAGCCAATTGCCTAACTAATTAGAAACTCTAGTATTCGACTATAGATATAAACGTTACCAAAACTATCACAATAATTTATCAAGGAATGGAATTAAAACAATAATACAGATCATATAATTTATTGGATCACAGAACTAAATTTCGTACAATGTAACTACATGTTTTAAAGTTATTCAGTTTGAGCAACATCATTAACCACACCAACACCATAAAATTTAGTTTTGCGACGAGGAAGAAGGAGTTCACTTAGACATAAACATACAAATTATACAAATAAACATGGCACAACGAATTATATTGTAAATAATGAGATAACTTTTTTATTATTATGAACTTTCAGTCTCAAACTCATCATAATATAGGAGCAATAACTGTAGATTTACCATGTATTGCTAAATAGTTAATTCGTTCTTGGAAAATGTGATCTAATGATCTATGGAAGTAAAGCACTGCAAACAGCACAGTTTTAAATTGTTCTACTAGTCACTTAAACTGATTAGTTTAAATAGTATTTCATACGAGAATTATTTTAGAAGCCATTGTTATAAAATAAACAACAGCGAATTAATCGAACAGATATTTTATAATGTTACAGCAACGTTGCAGATTACAAATAACAAATAAAATTACAAATTAATAAACATAAATTATATATAGGTTTAACCTAGTTAAAGCTACATGATTATTAATATGATAATTTCCATTGTGCTTACTAATACAAATTGCACGTACATCATTGAAATAAATATAAATAAATAGACTTTTTTAATATGATCTAATTTGACATCGACCAAGAGATAAACTTCCTCAAAATATATAATACTGATGATGGGACACACATTTTTTATTAGTAAGCATATACAATAAAGCCTGATTCGCATGTCAGGTTTATGAAACGGACGGTGTAGTATAATGTTATACAACCACAAATAGTAACACAGTATATTTAATACGTAATCTGTCATCTTTATTACACAATTGAGTTGATTGAAAATCAGTCGCCTATACTTCACAAAACTGATGTTTTCAAACATTCTTTTACTTGAAATTGGTCCGGTTGGAGCTGCTCTACATAGTAAAACTAAAAACTTCATACATGCGACCATCAATCACTATTACAGCAATTTTCGTTGTTATTGGGATATAAGTAGTTAATATAATATCAGTATTACTATTCAAATCATCTTTCAGGGTTTCAACATTTTAATTACTTAGAGCTTTTACAACAGGAATTGTCACAGACAAAATTATTTAAACGAAAATTGTAAGTAACATATATTTTCTATCAGAAGATATTTACACCAATTCTTATTATGTTATTAATGGATGTACGGATGATTTTGACGCAATACAGCGCAAACGAATTGTTTCGCTGTTGGGTAATTGCTGATAAAATGGACTGTCCCATCCTAAAATATTATGTGGGACAGGTTATCAATGCAAGAGCGTTATGACCGCTCATTTACTAACATAGGTTAAGTCAATTTATAACTAACAAAATGGGCCTTATGTAGTCTGATTAAATAAATATCATTATTATTAAGTTTTATGTGGGCTCTTAAAAAATTTCTAGGTAATCCATAAATGTAAAAAAAGAAAGTATATAAAAAATATAAAATTAGCTTTTAAAAACGAATATGGTCTTTATAAGATTGAGCATTCTGATGGCTTTTGTTGTTGTATAACCTCTAAATTTAGAACTTTGTAATAAATAAATAACAAAAAAATCAACGTTTCATTCAATCTCAATTACATCTGCCATTCGAATTTTAATTATAGGTTTTTAAAACAAGGAAACATAATAAGAATGTTATAATTTTTTTCTTTATTTAAGTTTATCTTATGTAAATACTTTCAGCAATATTACATGTTTATCTTGGATAAATATTAAATAAAACATTGTAATCTGGATATCTGTATCAAAAGTATTTTTATTTATTTGTTTTAATACCAGGAATAGACTGCCATTACATATTTATTTGCCACAAGTGAAAGACCACATTGGCCTAGCATTGAATGCAAATGCCGCAACAATGGGATACGATTATCGGCCATGTCTCACTGCAAACTCTTGCTTTATAAATTCATTCATCATAAAATACTTTCAACTATTCAGCGTAACATATTTTAATAAGAAAATATTTTTTTAATTTTTTAAAATAAGAACCCTAAGATCCTTTTTTTATTTATTTCTACAACAAAATAATTAATGTAAACTATAATTTTCTAGTACAGTATTATTTCATATTGGTTTGTAATAATTTAATCTATTTAGAAATTTCAGAAATGTTACCTTTTCTTTTTCCAAGATATTGTATGCATTAGTGCATATGATACATATGCGATAACACATATAAACAATACTGTAATTTAAATATATTATAGGGTAATCATGTATGCGCTTAATATGAGATACTGAAAATATCTTTATTATCTTAATATTTAAATAAAACTAGATTATTGCAATTAGTTTCAACTAGTAAATCCATAATAGTACTTTCGTCAATGATATTTAGTATCATACAAATAGTTATACTGTTCTATTGTTTCGAACTATAATAATTAATAATATACTAAGAAATTCAAGATTGTTAACTTTAATTATAGCTTTAATTTTATGTGAAAGTAACTGATATGCTGTGAAACAGATTAATGAATATGTCAATATTGAACTCAGTATTCTAATATAATTTATTTATTATCAATCTACTTTAGAATTCACACAAAATTATTCATATTATATTACTTTTAATAAAAGTGAATAAAAAAATTACAGCGAAAATGTAGCTGTAAATTTTTAGTTGGCACTTTACACGCTTTACTTACATATTCGACTCTATACGTCGTAATAATACTTTCTATTCTTTCCTTTAGCCTTTCTCTGAAAGTAATAAATACTATTAGTTTATAATCATATTCATTCACTAAAATCATTAAAAACAAGTACATCATGCACTCAAAAACAATTATAATTAGGGATATTGAAATTACTGTAAATACATACATTCTAACTGGCAAAATCCTAAAGAAACGCGTATGTATTTAGATCACAACTTAATGTATGCTTATTTGTACAGTAATATCATTAATATATATGTATATTACGAAATAACAAGTTTAATTTCAAGTGTGCCAGATGAACTTCATATAACTCCGTGTGCTTTTTGCAGGCCCAAAACTTCAAACATGTACCGAAAAAATTTATTCTTTATTACCATTAGAATCTAAATTGAAAGGCATCAGAAAGGTACACGGATATTCTGCAAGTGACGGTATGTGATCGATGTTGCTTTGAATAAATAAATAATAAAAAAGAAATGTTCACATTTTATATAAGGTATCATAAATCTTGATTTATACTAACATTGTATTTCATGTGAACACTAACAGTCACTTGCTTGTATGTTAATCGATTGCAAAATGTATACTATTACAAGTATGTGCATCAACCTATAGAAATATTATTTCTTTTAATTTTCTTTTCCAAATCGATGAATACGAAATGTGATATTACGCCACTGAATTTCATCTGATACCTATAATAAATTATCTTAATATCTCTAAGTTGATTTTACTCCCACAATATACTTTTAATTATACTATATTTTATTTAAATGTGATTTAGAATTTGGTTTCGCGTATGAGGTTTGCGGGCAATACGCGTTCTTCTGTCTTGTATCAATATTATACTTACTTATCTTCTCATTCTGAATAAATTCGTAGGAGGCATTATTAGATTTTATGGTCCAAAAACCTTTATCTCCTTTGGTCACTAAATCATCAACACCTTATAAGCCATTGATTAAAAATTGAAGTATATTATTTTAAGACGCGCATCGCCCGTTCCCCCAGACGCTAAGCTACGCTACTTCCTTACTAGCTAGGTGCAATATAATGCGAATTCACATCTTACATAATTATCTCATTTTCATAATGTACATTTATTAATTCTTAGTTTTTTCTCTGAAGTGAGTCTAATTATTATTATATAAGTTATACTTATCAATTTGGCTGTTTGTTACTACTAATCGTAAGACAACAATATTATATTTTTTTTCTAAAGTACAAACTTAACATTTTTCTATGATAACAAATTCTGAATTTTTTCGATAAACTCTTGTGTCAAGTACACCATTTATAATTGATAGACGAATGTGAAACGATAATAAAATTTCCAAGTCAGATTCTATTTGTGTCAATCGGCGTACTGTGTACGGCATTATTAATTCCGTCGTGTAAGGAACTCAAAAGATACTGACTCAGTCTTCATAAAATTTTCACCTCGAAACAAGAAATGTTTAGTAATTTATATCATTTAAAAGAAAAATACGAACATGAAAACTAGATCGTCCGCTATAAGAAATTCATAACAAAGTATTTAGTCCTAAATATATAGTCCAAAACATATAAAATAGGAGGCAAATCATAATATTTATTTAAAAATATACCTACCTAGCCTATTTGTTACAACTCCTACTAGACGACTCTTTTATATCCATCCACTTATATAACTAAACTTTTTAAATAACATTGAGCAAATTCAGAAAAAAATATATATAATATTCAAGTAAAAGGTAGCTCACAGTTATATCTCATATTATATACAATATACAAGATAACATATTGTCGATCAGAAATAGCAACATAAAAATTGAAATTTAATTATAATTGATACTATAATAAAAATGGTTATGAAATGTATGATATGTGAAGTGAAATTACCAACTATATACATAAATATTTAAAAGCATTATTAGGGTTAAGAAAAGGTGTCCAAGTAATTCAATTATTATTATATCAGAATCTATTTTAGCGAATTTAATAATTAACAACTGAAATATACGAAATATAATTCAAACTAGATGAAAAAATCAAAATTCCATCAAATTAGTTGCTTTTGAGTTGGTCATCGTGAATAACTACATGTCTTTTTTAAAAGCATACAGTTAAAATAAAATTGAATATTGAATAATTGAGATCATAACATTATCAAATGTTTGTCTAAATTCCTTATTTTATTTTACATAAATCAATGTAGTCACAGCATAATTATAACCTAGCACATTCCATACATCATCAACTAATATATTTAATAATTATTGCACTTACACTATAATAAATTTAGATATAATGGTATTATTGACCTTTTCTATGTACCATAGATTATCGTCCGCTATTTTAGTATGTCTTACATATATTTATTATTACAAAGTCGATATATTTGTCTACGTTTGGAAATTAGAGTCTCCATAATATCTGATTACATTGAAAAAAAATTAATAGTCAGTTTGAATGAAAGTAGTTTTCACCCTGCAAAACATTATGGAGACATTGAGTTGATACGTGATATTTTAAACTACGTAGAAAAAGTGACATGTGCACTAGAATTAATATTGAAGTGTCTTAATACCGGTGTTAACTTGGTAAATGGAACTGAATAATTTTATTTTAAAAAACTAGAATAATCGTATATTTATATATATATAATATAGATATATATGTGTATGTATGTATAAATATTTACATTTTATCTTATATTTATACCTGTGATAGACACTACACATTCAAATCCTCTTCATATTCCGTCATTCATTTATATAATTACTTTTAACAATCTTTCCTTACATTCCTGATTATACAATATTGACGGAAGGAACTATACAGATTTATTTTTATTCAAGAGTGCTTTCAGATATCACTGTAAGAGGAGGCACTAATCATTTGGAACTGTCTATCGTCTACTCAAACATATATTACATACAAACTGCTTAAATGAGTTACTGTCATAATTTAACTGTACGTAGTCACTTTCAGACTATTCGTACTGGTTGTGGTAAAACCATGTTGTATGACCTTAATGGATGGCTTCTAGTACTAAAGATGATATCTTAATTATTTGATCTGTCTATATGTGATTAAAAACTTTTTACATTAATTGATACATAGAATTCGTACTGTAGAATTGTGTCAACTTTTTTTTTCTATGGAGATCCCATTGAAATGTTATATATCAAATCTAGTTACTACTCTCTTCTGGGTGACTAAAAATATCTAATGAAATAAATGCTATACACATTTCTAATTTTTTTTCCGTGCTCGTTAAGTAATCCATTTGCGTTAATATAAAATAAAAATAATTAATTAATGAAAGTATTATGAAAAATGCTTTTGGCTTATAAGTAATTATACCTGTGACTATATTTTGGGTGGTACAAATAATAATAACTCTTTGAAGATTCGGAATAAAAGTATCAAAATATTTGACCGAGATTAGATTTAAATTTTATGAATATTTATCAAGTATTTTTGGTGCAATGTATTAACAAACACATAAGTAATAAATTTAACTAATTTTTAATATCAACATCAATTTAAAACAATACATAAGTAAATTTAGTACATTGTAATAATTTTTATTGATATTTTAACACTATTTTAATTTTTTTTTATTTAAATCAGGCAATTTTTACTATGTAAAAGATATACCTAATAATAAAATTTTATTAATACCTTCTTTATCGATTTCAAGAATATTGATTGACATACATTTGAACTTTTTAATTTCCCTCATTATCAGAGTTTATTATAAATTTGATCTTTTGTGTCACTTACAATAAAATAGGTATAATACGAGTATAACTGTATTGTGATTCTTTCTATTTTCGAAAAGATCATTACGGTGCTGGGAGATTACAAATTACTAAATTTTAAAAGCACTTCGAATTTGTAGAGAGTTGTTGTTGGGCGCCCTACATACGAGTAAGTCAAATTTAGTAAGTGCTTGATCTGTTACGTTAGCTTAAATTCAGTTTTCCTCTCCGAGAAGTACTAAATCATCGGCCACTACGTCGGAGACGTGAAGGTAAATGATCCAATACATTAGGTTAAAGCAGACGAAGCACACGGGGAACACGATGCGGGAGTACTTATCGATGTCTGATGGAGTAGTGCCCAGCAGTTTGTTGATGCCCTGAAAGTATGGTTTAACTTGACTTTGACGATTAATCGAAAGTGTGGTTCATTTTATATTTAACAATTTAAAATTTGTTTAGGCAACACTATTCGCTTTTGCAGACAAAAACGTAAATAACCTTCGCCCAAAAAAACACAATATAACATTCGCATCATGAATATCATATTATTAATAATAATTATTCCTATTTGACGATCTTTTAATCGACAAATAGAAATAAAGAAAATTTCATAATTTTATGACTTTGTGTACCTTTGATGCATGAATCAAATGAGGGGGAGGACCAGCTTCCTCGTCTGGTTGTGGGGCGGGAGCTGCTGCCGCACCTCGAGCTCCATTAATTGTATTTTCCAGTGTTCCGCCTTTAGAATAGGCCTTTGGATCGTGAGCTTTATATCGTATTTCCTGTACACAAAAACAAAAATTTTAAGTACAATTTTGAAACTATGCAATTACCTAACAGTAATATTATATGAATAATAATAGTACGATATGTTTATGATGATAAAATAGTATATAATGGTCCAAAATTAACTCAGAGTGCATAGTTCTGCCGTGTCCGTGTAACTATTGTAAGGAAGAGTTATATACATCTTGTGGAAATCAGTATATTAACAAATTATTAATACCTAATTACTTCTCTCCATCCAAAAGTGAAGTCGAAAAATTCTCTTGTATTATTGATTTTGCTAACCTTATTACTATAATTTTTTGGACAGAACAATAAACAGTATTTATATTTTGAGAGATTTGATGTGCTATACATTAATCTAATAAACGTACTGAAGATCTACTAGGTGGCGGTGGTCTTGTCAATGTACTTGTTCTCGGTGGAGGCAATGGCTCAGATGTTCCTGGTGGGCCATCGATTTGCATCTTCTTTTCGGCAGCCATTTTCTGAACAGCCGTAAACCTTTGTTTTCTCATCTGTATTCGTTTTGCCATGTAGCCAACAGTTGCATATTCTGTAATAAATTTTTATTATGAACTTCAACTAAATTTTAACTCAAAATCGCCGAGCATAAAAAAAATTAACAAAAATGTCGCATATTTTTGTCACTTATAAGATACTCATTATTTTAATATCCGTTACTAGCAATAATTGGTCATTACAAATAATAATATAGTTACCCTTGTCGTCAAATAGATTAAGACTATTTATCATACAGAATAGATTTATAAATTTATTCTTTTTTTCTGATTTTTAATTAATCATAACAGAAGATATATATTAAACTCAATTGTATACTGTTTTTACTACTGTTTTAAACGTTTCTTATATTTTAAACATTACGTTTGAATATTGAGTTTTTTTATTTTATGTTTTTAATTTAATCCGAAACTTTTTACATTATGGTATCTTCCGTTATAAGCAGCATAAAATATTATCCTATTCAAATATTGTCAAATTTAAGACAAAAGAAAAAAAGGTATCCAGTCATTTGGATTTCAATATCAATTCTACTTTTGTTACCTAGAAGACTAGCGAAGACCATGACGAAACAAGTTCCCAGGTACACGTCGATAGATTTCACATACGAAATTTTAGGTAAAGCGGCATTCGTCGACGACATGAGTGTTGTCATCGTCAACACAGTTGTGACGCCCAATGAAACTCGAGCTGGTGTCGCATTCCGGTTCAACCAAAACGATACCCATGAAATAATCACGATCAAACCAGACGGAATATAAATCTGGATTAAATAGTATCCCATGGAACGCACGAACTGTATTTCACACGCCAATCTCGAATAATTTCCTGCAATAATTATTTTCATTACTACCAATCTCTTTATATCATTTATTATATCTTTAATAAAAAGTATCATAAGCAAAACTTCATTTCAATTTAGAAACGAAAGATGTAAGAATATAAAGCAAACACATGCAAAAAACTGGTACTTTTATCCTAGGTGCATGATATAATGAATTAGGCTTTCCTTTGATTATAATTACAATGCCCGGTAATAGGGACACTAGTGAGTTTCATCGGTGCATGATACCTGTGGTGAGAGAGATTTCCATAGCTCGCTGGCGATGTCCCAGAACTTTGAACTGCGGCAGGGACACCTCGCTCGATACACCCACAGAGTTGGGTCCCTCGTTCCACTTGTAACGGATGTCCCGCATGGTGTAGCCGACTGTACCATGCAGAGATATGGAACGATAAAATAAGCACCCATTCCACTGGGTTTTTCATATATTGTTTGATGATAATGCACTGATTAAGCCTATATACTACCAAAAGTGAGAAAGTGTCATAATAATAGTAGCGGCGTTAAAATACGACAGACGTACGACGAAAATTAAAATTTGGAAGCATTTTCAACACTGTCTTAGACTTTTACTACCAAATATAAAAGCTTCATAGGTCTGCAGTTTGTTTAAGTGACAGTAAGTAAATTTAAATATATATGTATATATATTACGTCATTTGTTTCGTGAAGCACAGGATAAGAAACTTAATTGAAATAGGGTATTATTGTAAACTTTATAACTAATAAGCCAAATAAAGTTCACAATAAAAAATGTGTAATTGACTCACAACTTTCAATTTCTATATTGCATAATTGACGATCCATTGGAAAATACTGCAAATCCATAGGGCAAGAAGCGGTGATAGTCAGTCTGTAAAAAAAAATCTCACTTCAGAATTAGACGAAAGTTTTTGTACAGTTGTATTTCAAATGTCACGTTTAATATTTTCACCTTATACTCCGTGTTATAGATCCGGAATGGTGAATACGGATGAATTCGTTGCTTGTAGTGGCAATGTGGAAATATGACTGTTTCTCATTCACAAAGAAAGTGTCAGGTACCCAAATATTCCTAATAAATTCTGATCCAACAGAGAGTGTTTCAACACCGGTCCTCTTCTTATATGCCAGTCTTGGGTCAGTCCAAAACTGCCTGAAGTAAAAATCCAGTGTGAAATCCTGAAAATTTATTATAGTTGTGAAATATATAAAGCCACTAGGTTATAATAATTTTATCTGATGAACTTTAATCGGCAATCGCAGTCATGTACTGCCTTTTTGTAAAATATATATAAAATAAGAATGAACTCAAAACATTTAATCCATTGCCGATATAAATATTCATCCTTATTACGGAAAATAAATGTATTATTCTATATTATAGATTCGACTGATTCACTTATATTATTGTGTATTATTGTCCATTATCGTCAATTATTTTCGTTTTAATTAAATTATGACTTCGTCTGGATGACTATGACATGAAAATTAATTCACATATAAATTTTATCATTATCCAAATAATTTAATGATAAACTGAATAATATTTTTAATTCTTTTTTTATTCCAATTGATGTTGGTACCAATCATTCAAATCCATAGACTTTTATATGACATACATTTCACAGTAAACATTATCATATATTATCACTTTCTTACCAATACTACTCAAAAATTGTGTACGACTAGTATTTCAATCATTTAATAAACAAAAAGTATATATTTAAATATTTGTAAAGTATTGGTTTAGCAAGTGATAAACTGTTCCTTTTTTTTTTTTTTTTGTTTAATAAGTATAATTATACTGCTGAAGTTCAATCAATATTTGTGCCTTGATAATATTTGTGTATATACTCGTATTAAACCGCTAGTGCTATTGAGTATATTTCTATTTACTAGTAAATATACTGTGTGCCAAAAAATATTTATTGTTTACTATTAGCAAGAATTTACACACATAATAGTATATACACTACTATAATAGTATGGAAGCTTTGGTACACGAATTGAAGTTATAAAATAATTTTATATTTTAATTTGGTAAATTATAACCAAAATATAGGCAGTTTCATAATTTATATTAATAATGAATTTACGAGCATGTCATCTTTTAAAAAGAAAAAAATACTTTATAATTGACACCATGGAATTATAATTTCATAATGATATGTAATAAACAATAAAATGAAATATATAATAAAACAAATTAATTATCTCAAATCAAATATATCTAAACTGTTGTCTATACAAAATGGCTTAAAAGTTCATAAAGATAAAATCCTGTCCACACCATATCAAGGCACAAGAATATCTAACTTTAAACGAAACTTTATTATTTTGTGTTTTTTTTCTTATATATTTCAATTATATTCAAAGTTATCTTGCCGGTTCTCAGGTAAAATATTGTATTATTTTACTTAAGAAACAAAATAAAAGTACACCCATAATTAGACAATATTGATTTTTAATCATCAGATTTTTTTTTATAGCAACCATTAAAATATTCACACCACTATGGTGTACTTTTATTATACACACTATATCTAGGGTCTATAACTAATGTCCGGATATTGGTCACGTCCTGAAGTGACTTTAACAGTCCCCTTGATTTGGTTTCCACTAGGGGTCATACACCCTGGTCTCAGTTTAATATTCGTTCTTTGGAACCGTTATCAAGGGTATATCAGCGTCTCACTTTACAATTACACACAATGGAATTACGGTCCGCCATTATCCGACATTTTATTTTTTTTTAAATACACACATTTTTTTATTATGTTATGATTGTGTATTATTTGTTTTCTCCTCGAGAAGCGAGAAAGTTTATAATATCACTTTATGATTGAAATAAACATATCAACAGAAATAGGTAATGTTTGTATTATTTCCTACAAAAATAAAATAACAACAAAAAAAAACCAGTCAACCTAAAGCAAATATAAAAAGTTTCCACGTCCGACCGGAACTCATTGGACAACGGTACAAACATTAAATACATTCATAGCAAGACTACTTAAAGTTAGAAATTTTAAGGCGAGTGGCGAGACTCAAGTTTAGAACGCCATTCTCAGAGACAGCAGTAAGAAACCCACAGTCACAACAAATACCTACTCAAAAACATAAAAAGCTTAAAATAAAAAACAACAATGGAGCAAATTTACGACAGTGTTTTGCTTGGAGGGATGCTTAATGACAAAGTACATTTTAGTATGTCTTTAGTAAGACGCACCCGGAGGCGCACACCACCATGAGTATTCCAATTGATATAATTTTCATTAAATACAAATAGCAAATTACAAATAGAAGAAGGTGGTGCGTCGCCTTCCGGGTGGTCGGCTCCATAACGCCGGCATGCTCGCAGCCTCGTGTCTGGGGCTGCTCGGTCGCAGCGGCGCAGCGCGCGGCCGGAGCGACCGAGACAAGCGTGAGCTGACAGTGGCGAGTACCATGAGCACTTCGGAGACGGAGCTGATAGAGAGCACATACATGGTGACGCCCACCTCCACTGGCGGACCTGCAATCAAGCCCAATCGTGAGTCGCGCCCCGCGCAGTGAAAACCAAACCAGAGGACGGTGACGTGACGCCCGGGATCCCTCGACCGAACGCACACCATCATAGAAGAACGACAGTTCGCTCGATCGAGGGCAGCTAACCTAAAATCTTCTCGTCTTTTCCCATACTAAAATGACCATCTACTTATAAGTAGTTTTGCATTATTAAATACCATTTTCACTTCTGATAAGGAGCTGATGGAGAGCACGTACATGGTGACTCCCACATCCACTGGCGGTCCTGAAATATCACATCGGTTACATTACCTGGTTATTTCCCATATTTTATTGTTTTCGCCTTCTGTATTACAGGTTTACTTTTTTGGCTATTGGCCTTTATTTCTGGTAATTCTGACATCTTCTTGTGCATTCTTTATTGTTACTATTTTAAATAAGTTAAAATCTTTTAAAGGAAAATATATAAATTACTTTATACACCAGTAAATATACCTAAAACGTTTGTTAGTATAATGTATCGCAACGTCAGTTTAATTGTCGACAAACATCACATTCGAGCTGACCGGTTTTTATTCGGTCATGCACAGTATTTATCTTAAAAAAAAGATTAAAATAAAGCTGAGCAATATAAAAAATTTTAATATTTATGATGAAATAAGACTAATATTTAATTTAATAAATGAATACTAACCTCCATAATTTGGTCTCACTCTCTTGTCATAGCTTACACTTAGTGAATCCAATATGGCTGAAATATTGACGTCACCAAACATTCCTCCTCCGCCCGCTCCCCTGGAAAACAAAGTGCTGAATGTATTTGATTTCTTTACTTAATGTTAGAAATGGTAAACAAATAGATTGCCTACCTAATGGAAGGTAGTATCGCCTACACATAGTTTTGAACAATACTATTAACCACTCAATACTATTTTTCGTGTATTTAAACAATGTTACTCTAAAAAAATAAGCTGAAGCTTGAATCCCATTCTGTAAGGAATGATATAATAGTATCTAACATATTTTTTTTACATAGGGCCATGATTAATTAAAGATTAATACGCAATATAGGTAAATCGCAGTGTAGGTCCCGGCATAGGCGACCACCCCTTCCTTTCCCGTGTGTGTCGTAAGAAGGGACTAAGGGAGCTCTTAAAACATCTGTAAAAGCCTAACTACAGTTGCCAACCCGCCTGCCAAGCGTGACAACTACTAGCCAAACTCTCCTTATTCGGGGAAGGTTTATATTCAGCAGTCGACCGTTACTGGCTAAAATAATAATAATAAAATGCAATATAGATATTTAATATTTAATAATCAGGCCTGAGTTAATTCACGACCAAAAAGATTTAAAGAGCCACATCACTTCGAGAAAACCTATCTTTGAAGTAGTTTTAAAAGGACAAGGTACGGTTATCCTTTAAAAAAATAGAGAAAAAAAAATATCCAGACATTTGTATTATTGTGTGATTGAAAATTGCAAATTGAACATTGAAAAACTATATAATTTAGTTATAGCTTATAATTTGTATTTAGAAATGAATAACATTATACATAAAGATATTATATTATCCTTTCGTAAATCGCTATTTTTCCTATACAATACTTGGTTCATATATATCACATAATTAAGAATATAAATAATAGTAACCAGATTATATTAGTGTTATTAATTAATTTCTGCTACTATGTTGTATTTACTTTAATCAAAATGTTATTTTAAAATTTACAGTTTAAAATATTTTTAATATATGTTCCTACATCTGCCCCTAATTCGTTAAAAGTTAAGCCAAAAGCGGGACGCAAGCGAGTTTGTTTTCCTAAAAAAAAATTATTGGGGTTTTTTTATATGTTTTATATTGATATAAGATATAATATTAATAAAAAATGTTTTACTAAATAAATTTACTATGTTTATATGCTTATTTTACATAATTACTCTTCATCTAGCTAGTTAATTGTCGAGTAGTAAATAATTTTCTAGATGGCCGCATAAAACACGTCATAGTAATAATCTATTAAATAAAATGTATACACAAACTTACATTAACTGGCTATTAAAAAGTAGTTTTAATCAGGCTAATTTCTGTTTAAAACACGGTTTCGATGTCTGGATTTAATACTCCATTAAAACTTTGTTTTATTTAACACTAGTCTTCACCTGCAGTTATTTTATGTGACCGGGACATTTATTTTATGCAACATAGAACGGCAAACAAGCTGGCCCACCTGATGGAAAGTGATAACCAGCGCCTATAAACATGATCAGTATCACAGTAATAGAAATAAAAAGCAGGTCAGTTAACCTATTGTGACAAATTCTACTAGAATTAACTACTATGATATCCAGAGGGAATCGCATAGAGGTCGACCTGATGACAGAATGACCCATTGCCAATAATACAGGGTGTATTATTGGCAATGGGTAAGTTAGACCCCAGTACAAACAATCCCTTTACCCTCAGGACTAAGGTGTTATAACTCTATACTCTGAAAATTCACTGCCATATCCCATCTTTCAAACCGAATCACAATCATGCAAACACAACTGCTACACGGTAGAAACACAAATGGACAGAGGTACCCAAGTAAACGACTATTACACAAATTCTGCCACTGGTATACACCACATATTTACTAATCGAGTAAATATTAGCCAATGTTTAGGATAAGGAAGCCGCTATTCTTATTAGTACGTATTTTTCAAATTTCATGACGAACGATAAAGCAATTGAAATGCCAAAAATATATTACTAGTAAGGACTGAAACATAATAATGAATGAGAAAGCGGATAATATCCCATGTGTTTTAAGACTCATCTTTTATTGACGCCTAATATAGTTTTAATAAGTTAGCGTTTTTGTAAAATAAAATCTTTAAAATAAATATTTTCTGTAACTTACTTAAAAAAGTTTAAAATGACTGGTTTTCAAATTCTTAGTAATGTCAGAAAATTATGTCCATACAACGGTTGAAAATTTATTAAAGTTTCTCCTTGCTATGGGAAATAGCTAAAGTTTTCCAATCATCAAGCTTTGATTTGTTCAGGACAAGTAAACAAAAAATATATTTACTTATCATTTCTGAATCTTAACTATATATAAATAACTTTAGCGATATCGATACGGGTATTAAAATATTTGAATGAAATCTAAATACACGTATTTATATATACATATACATATACACATACACATACATATACATATACATATATATATAAATAAATATATATATATATATATATATATATATATATATATATATATATATATATATATATATATATATATATATATATGTGTTTATGGTACATATACGGCTTTTAATTGGGATTATGAAAGAATTTTTTGTATTAATTTGAAAAATAATAAATAATAACAACGAAACCATTTGTAACTATAGAAATGTTATTAAAACATGAAAATAATACTTCACTAATTATTAAGTAACTGTAAAATTTCGAAGTGGGCGAGAAATTAAATCCGCATCTTCTACGTCACAGCGAGACCAGTGCTCTTAATAAAATTATACAAAAATAACTACCCGAAAAAGGCTTTTTATATCGGTATGCCATAAAATTCTAAACATCGAAACCAATACTTCAAAACTGTGCGCAGAATAAATCCTAAAACGACATCAATTTTTATTCTGTATGATTTTGATGAAAGTACGATTATTTTAAGTCAGATAAAAATTTGTCATTGTTTTTTTCCTCATTTTTTAATGGTTAACAAACTTATATTTAAAAACATATTTACGAAATATTTCATGGAGGAGTCAAACAGATCGAGTGAAATAAACTCTCGAATATCAATATTATGTGTGTTAAATGGTTTAAATTTACATTATTTTACTTATATTTACAATACGATCTTTTAACATTGATGTTTTAGGATGGATGCTAAAACATCAAGTAAGTGGTGACTTACTTCAGCTGAATTAAACGAAATATGATTTTTGAGAAAACCCCTTGAAATATCCATGAAATAGGTATATTCACACCACATATAATACGAATACATAAGAGTTGGCTTTTATAAATCCATTACCACCCCATTATTTATTAGAAGAAATTAATTGTCAAAAAATATTTTTCGTTTTGCTCTAAAATACATATTATTCATCAATATATGATATCATATATATATAATAACATTTTATATACTTTAACATTTTTTTAATTATTTTAGCCGTTACCTGTCCACTGTTGGACTTAAACCTCCCCCATAAGGGGATTTTTTCCAGTAATTACTATGGTTTTTAGTGATATTTTAAGAGGGATGCTGCTGCCATCCCTCGCCCTCCCTTAGTCGCCTCTTACGACATCCACGGGAAAGGAACGGGTGGCCCATTCTATGCCGGGGCACACAACGGCAAAAATTAACATGACATCAAAAACAAGACACTTAATCATAGCATGATTGAAGTCATGTGATTATTTTTAAAATTTAATTATTTTTCATGTTGTTTATAACTAATATCGTTCTTAGAATTACATATTTAAAATTAGCTTTAACCCGCGGCTTTGTCCACGTAACCAATATATGTTCATTGACCTGAAAAGAAATTAACCTATAACCTTCTCCGTTCCATATAGTACGAGTACAGTAAATTTCATTGTAATTAGTTAAGCCGTTAAAGCAGTAACAAACAAACTCACTTTAACATTTATATTATCAGTAAGGAATAGTGATCCGGCCCGGCTTCGCACGGGCCGATAGAATTTACGAAAATAATTTATAACCCATGTTACTAGAGGGAGACTTTGTACAAAAGTCGATTGCTTGGGTACCTCTGACACATTCGTGTTTCAACAGTGAAGCAGTTGTGTTTGCATGGCTTTTTTTCGGTTTGAAGGGTGGGATATGGCGTAAATTTACTGGGTTCAGAGGAATAACACCTAAGTCCTCAGGAATGGCAACGCATGGGGGGTATCATGGGCGAAACAGTATACTCTGTTATATCCGTGGTACTGCTCATGTCTATAGGCGACGGTTACCACTTTCCATCAGGTGGGCCGTCAGCTTGTTTGCCATTCTAAGTTGTATAAAAAAAATATTCGGTGATGAGATAATTTTTCTTTAGATAGAATAAGTTTTAAAATCAGTTGAATAGTACATCAAATCCTTCATCTTTATAATGGTAGTATAGATAAAGTTTGAAAATACATAAAAATCTGACAAGAACATTTTTATTCAAAACTCAATTTATAGTTTTTTATTACTGTTAGAAGAAAATATGCAACAACAATTAAAATGTGACGGTAAAATGAATAATTTCTGAACGCCAACCATACTTTTAACATATCGAATTTCTGCCTCTTGTTATATCTGGAATAACAATGAAGACAAAAGGAAGTTGCGAATCTAATTTACCGGGCTCTGTGCAGGGTGTAACAATTCAAGATTTAAACATTGTTTTCATATTACGACTCGTGTTTCATGAAGAGAGTATAGTTCGGTGTTATGAATGGGTACGTACTATTGTTCAATTTCGGTTTACAAATTTTCCTTTTCGTTGCAACTTAATTATTTATATAATATTACATTATACGTGTTGAATTTTATATTCCACATAAGAATAACAAACAACATATTTATTTATTAAACTTTAATACACTTGGACGGTGTAAATGTGGGACTTAATACAATATAGTGTTATCTACCAGTCGATCGTAGACAGGAATATCAGAAAATATAATGACGGTGCAACGTGATGAGCAAATAATTAAAAAAATAAAAACAATATTTTAATAATAACATACACATAATACTCATATTACCCACATTAT